CAGGGCGGGCTCCAGCGCCAGCCTCGCGCCGACGCAGTGCACTCACGGGGCGGTCCCCGAGGCGGCGGGTTGTGGTTCCGGTTCCGTCGCTGAGACACGTGAAGGTCGGTGAGTTGGTGTGGAGTCCGTCTCCGCACGCGTGGTCGCGCTGGGATGGATTCTTCCTCGTCCTCCTCCGCGGCGGGTTTGGGCGCAGTGGACCCACAGTTGCAGCATTTCATCGAAGTGGAAACTCAGAAGCAGCGCTTTCAGCAGCTGGTGCACCAGATGACTGAACTGTGTTGGGTGAGGATCCTGGGGCTGGGATATGGACACTGCACCCACTTTCCCACTGCCCTTGTCCCATGGGACTCGCTACTTAGTCGGGGAGAGGGAGAGGGTAGACCGGGTAGCGCTACCCCGCAGAGCCGGAAGAGAGAAGGGTGACTCCACTTCTCAGTGGACAGGCACTCCGTGGACCTTGGCTTTGTTGGTGCAGTGGACTGGGGATCACAGACTTACTCTGGTATCCCACCCAATACTTTGATGCACTTGAGGTTGCAGCTACCTCTAGTACTGATCACCAAAACCAGGCAGAGCCTCCACTACAGGGATTTTATTTTGGGGAGCCTGAATCTTGGGGAGTCCATGAATCTGATATTCTTGTATTCCTTGGGATTTGCCTTGATTACCCAGTTGTTCAAACCCTTCATGGTGAAAAATGAGTGTCTCTAGCCCGCTGACTATAAAAGTGGCAGTAATCTCTTCCAACGTACACATTTATTTGCCTTCTTTTTGGGTTGTTGTGTAATACCAAGCCCTTTCGGGTCTGAAGGTTGAGGAATTTGGTCTGCCCTGTGAGGGGACTTTGGCAAAAGGGTGGAAGGCATTTGCAGCTTGAGATCAAAGTGTTCTGGTTGCCAAGGACAGCATACTGCCCTCCCTCGACATACAAACTCACAGGATTTAGAGGCCAAGGATAATATTTATTGAAATTGGAGGGTCTAAGGCTTGTGTATGTAGAAGAGAATCGTGAGTAACATTCATTTGAATCCCTTTGAATTATATACAATCATCAGTTTCTACAGTTCCTTTCCCATAAACTTAAGGTAGTGCTGGACTATGATCCTTATCAAATGCTAAACCTATTCTGGTCTGCCTTGGACCAGAGTACTTTGATTCTTTCTTTAAAAAATGATTCATTACATTTGGGCCAGGAGTGGGTGTGGTTAAGGACTCCTTTAAGAATCTGTAAGCTATGGACCTTTCAAGAAGATTTATAATTTTTCATTCCTTGTGACAGGATTCAAGAACCTCTGGCTTAAGTAGACAGGGTTATACATTCTCAGTTCCTAAATTTTCTTTTGACAGGTGTTAGGGTACCTTACTATAATGATTCATCCTTCAATCCTTTATTCTCCAATTAATTTAATAGCATTCAATGCAGATAGTATTAGTTACAAGCAAATTCAGCAAAATATTACTTCATTCATATTTTGTTAATTTTCTTGCCCTGTGATATCTCAGCTCCACCATTTTCTGGCCCTTTAATTTTGGGTAAAGGATTTTTGTACTGCAGTTTCTCTCTTTGTAAAAGGAAGTTTAAAATAGTATCTATTCCATAGGGTTGTTGTGAGAATTTAATGTAAGTCTGTAGAATGTAAATTGCCAAATTAGAAATATTAACATATTAGATATTGTTTTTAGGTGAAGTTTTTCCTCTAAGCAGTGAAGTTACCCCTACCCCTCTTTTTTTCCTGAAAGTTCCCTTTGTGATTCTCTGTCTTATCCTGAGCAGGAGAAGTGCATGGACAAGCCTGGGCCAAAGTTGGACAGTCGGGCTGAGGCCTGTTTTGTGAACTGCGTTGAGCGATTCATTGATACAAGCCAATTCATCTTGAATCGACTGGAACAGACCCAGAAATCCAAGCCAGTCTTCTCAGAAAGCCTTTCTGACTGATCTCAGCATTACCTTTTTGGAAAAAGAAGGTAGTTCAAGAAAAGGAACAGCTGTTGAAGGGATGGTTGAAGAAATGGCTATGGGGAATTGACTGGCTCCCACCTTTTGTCCCACTTGGACATCTTGTCATCTGATAATGAACAAAGACCAATTTTCTGGTGTGGGGTTTGAGGGTCATATATGTACTTGGTTGTGTTTTTTAATGCTAATCTTGTGAAAATAATTGACAGATGGAAAATTATTATATGCATATTACTGTATGTGGGACTGTGCTTTTCTCAAGGTCCCCTTAACTGCTTCCTATGATTTTGATAGTGGAACTGCTTTCTATAATTTGATGGTGGGACCACACAGGTAAAATCTCTTATTTGTGTGACTTCATTTCACATTTTGGGGGAGATATTTCATAAAGGCAGTAGTTGGAGAATAATAATTTGGCACTTAACTCTGGGTCTTATCTAATATTTGACTATCAGTGCTGGAAAAAAAACCCTATGGACTGTTTATTCAGTTACACTTCAGCTTTCTAGGTTGTCTCCCTTCCCTATGATTATTTAAATATATCTAAAGTATGGTCTCAAGGTAGACCAGGCAATCTGAGGATCGAAAGACCTTTAATTATAAAGGAATCTAACCAGTGAACATAATTCTCATTACTAGATAGCATAGAAAGAGGTTAAGTTACCCTGTATATCAGGGTAAAAAAAATTTGCCTAAAAAAAATTATAAAGATTTAGGCTAGTCAAAAACTAACAGCAGTTTCAGGTAGAGGTGCATGCCTGATGTTAATCATTATAGGTTCAATTGACTGCATTCTTTTGATCATTGAAATAAAAGCTTCTACTCTGTGATTAAGAGGCTTTCTATTCTGGTTTTTATCTGTAACTCATAGAAATTTAGTGTGGGCTGATTCCAAGCCTGAAATGTAGTCAGTGTATATTCTAGAGGCCCTTGAACTTTTTGTCAGAAAAGAGAGCCTTGAGATGAAATGAGAGGAAGGGATTCTGTGCTGTCAATTAGGTTCCTAAGTACAATAGAAGAGCTAATATTGACTGGATTCACCTTTTGTTTCACATCCTAGTAGGCTGGAATTTAGACCTAAAGTGGAACTACTTGCTAGGAGCCTCTAAGGTAAATCCATGGGCAGATACACATTTCCAGAAGCTTCAGGTCCCTGTTTAGCTTTTCCCATACAGATATTATAAGGAATTTTTTTTTTTTTTTTTTTTTTTTTTTTTTTTTTTTTTTACAAATCAAGATGGAAACACGATTCAACAAACTTTTAAGTGCTTCCTCCATGCCAGTCACTGCTTTCAGTGACAGGATTCAGCAGTGCACAAAACAGCCCATATACTTGAAGAGCTATGGAAGACAGAATACATGTATGAATGTAAATGTAATGAGCACCATGGAGAAAAAAAAACACTAAAGGTGTTAGAGAATGTTTGAAGGGCATCATTATTTTATGGAAAATGGTCAAAGGTCTCCTTGGAAAGGTGGCATTTCAGGAGAGTCCTGAAAGAACTAAGAGACCAAGCATTGTGGGTATCTGAGAGAACATTTCAGGCAGAGGTAACAGCAAGTCCACAGGCCCAAAGGTCAGAGCTGTATGGCATGAGGCCATTTACAAGAACAATCAAAAGGTCAATAGGACTAGAGTAAAGTAAGGAGAAAGGTAAAAAGTTTGGAAAAAAAATAATGAGATGGTTTGGGACTGGATGAGTAGTATGTATTGATCATGTAAGTACTTTGGGCTTTACTAGGCAAGATAGCCATTTGAGGGATTTTAGCAGATGAGTGATGTAGTATAATTTAAAATTTTAAGATGGTCTGGCTACTGTTTGGAGAGCATGGACATTGTGAAGTAGTAGTATTAATAAGAATAATGACATTTCAAAATGCAGGAGAAATCAGGCATTTAGAATAGGTGTCTGACATATACTTTGTATCTGTATGCCATGTCGATTTTTTTCCCCTGCAATTCTAATGTGTTCATATAAAACCTCAAGTGATATAGGGGGTTCTTTAGTCTTTTCCTTATTCTTCCTTATTAATATATTATTTATTTTATTATCATTATTCTTTTTTATTCTTCATTTAGTATTAAAGTATTCTAATTACATGTATACACAAACTTAAAATGTGTTTACATTATTATTGCTTGCTCAGCTAATATAATGCAAAAGAAGTTTTGTTTGATTCATGCAACATATGTGAGCACCAAGTTTGTGTTCATTACTAGGCACAAGACAATGAGGAAGAAAAGGTATGACATTTGCCCCCTGTCCTCAAGGACATTAATATATGAAAGCAACAACTTGGGCTTTTGTTTGTTTTGTGAATCTCAGAAACTCATTTTCAGAATCTTGCTAGAAAGATGGTATTGTCAGCTCTGATATTCAAAGCTTTCATTTCACATATTCAAGGTAGAAAATTTAACACTTAATAATAAAACAAAAAGATTGGGTTAGCAGACCCTTCTTCTGAAACAAAATCTTACTTAGAATCCTAATATAGAAAATTGAAAAGCCAAGCTGCTCTAGTAGGAGGGTATCTATCTGGAAGCCTGCTTGCTTTTGTCTCCTCATCTACCTGTGCCCCTAGTAGTGCCTAATGTACTGTATTCAAGCCTCTAGGGATGTATCAAACATACTGTAAAAACTGGAACTTGTCTATTTCTAAAATCCATGAACATTAAGGATAACAGATTCAAGGAAATCAGGCAAGAACTTCATATTTATTATTGATAACAAATCTCTATAAGGAGTTTGAATTCTATAAAATGTAACAACTCAATAAACCCCATGTAAAATAGCTTTTACACGGAACAGTGAAAAGCAATGTTCCTTTCATTTTAAAAATCAATTATCTCTCATATTAATGGTGTAAAAAATCTTAGCCTAGGGAGTTTAATTCCAAAGATCACCCAATAGCATACTTGTGTTAAAACTTCATAGTCTCCTTCAGCCTTCTTTCTTTCTTTAATTTATTTCAGTGCTGAGAATCAAGCCCAGAGCCTCACACATGCTAGCCAAGTGCCCCACCACTGAACTACATCCCTAGCTTAGCATTATTTTTGTTGGCATATTCTGTAAAGAAAGGTATCTGACATCCTATATCTGAATTCAGAATCACAAGATACATTTAAGTTATTGTTCAGACTCAATGACCTCAAGTGTTATGTTTTGGATATGGTTTGAATATGCTCCCAAGGGTTTGTTGTGTTGAAAACTTGGTCCCCACTGTGGTGATTATGGGAGGTGGTGGGGCCTAGTGGAAAGTCCTTAGGTTATTGTGGTGGGAGCTGACTTTGGAAGGGATCAAGGTAGCTTTTGTGGAACCCCTGAGCTCTCACAAAGTGAGTTATTTTAAGAGCAAACCTGACCCATGAATTTTTCTTTGGCTTCCTATTTGGTGTTGTGATCTCTTTCTACCACCCATGGTACCACCAGTGTCATCTGCCATGAGGTCACAGAGTTAAGGGGGACCCTTGCCAGAGCCAGCACTGTACAGTTTGGGCTCTCAGCTTCCGAATCTGTGACCTAAATCTTTTTTCGGTATAAAGTTAGATTGCCTCAGGTATTTCATTATAACAAAAAAACAAACAAACAAACAAAAAAAAAACCCACAAACTAATACAAGTCAAAAGGCAACATGTGTGGACTAAAAGGGATAATTTGAAAGGCATGGAGAAAAAAAAGGCTAAGAACCATGATCAGGAAACCACAGATGGTATTAAAATTGAGGCTGCATGCTGCTGTTGACCAGGATGGCAAGCAGGCCATGGTAACAGCAAGGAAGGGACAACTTGGGACTTGATACAGAGCTATTGGAAATAACCAAAGCAGTTTTCAAACAGTTAAATTTTTGTGTGTGTGGTGCTGGGGATCAAACCCAAGGCCTCATGTATGCTAGGCAAGTGCTCTACCATTGAGCCACATCCACAGCCCTATATAGTTTATTTGAATGTCTACATAGGTCATAAAACAAATCAAGAATATCCAGTTCAGTGCAGAGTTTGTGATTGGCTTCTGTAAAAACAGTTGGCATCAAGGTAGTGCTTGAACCTTTGACACCTAACAAAGAAAGTGAACCAAGAGAAGTGTAGATAAGAATATTCACTGGGAGGTTACGCTGACCATAGTAAAGTCTCACTATGAAGATAAGCAAGGTGGAATTGACCACTACACACAGAATCATATAGATAAATCCTGCAATAAAAGAATCAAGTTGTTCTTTAATGCTTATATAAGAAAATCTACAGCAATTTGACAAACTATTATGTTCCTTAATATCATTGAGTAAGTAGCATTTGAGCCATTGGCTATTTATTGTATGAACTAATAAAAATTGTATATCTAAAGCTATATATATTGCAAATGTCACTCCTAAAAAGGCAAAACCTATACAATATGCTACACAGAAATACACAGAAGAGACAGGATATGGCAAAGCAGGATTCAGATGTACTAATTAGGTACTCTGGGTGAACAAAAAAGACTATAAAATGAAAAAGAATATAAAATGAAATATCATGTAAAGCACTTGGAATCTTGAGCATTATCAGCATTATAGTGACAAGGTATGTATATTATCTGGTAAGTAGTTCCATACACTGTTACATGTTTTTTATGGATCATCAAATTAAAAGTTCTTTGAGAGGAGCTATTGTTACCATGCCTGTTTCATAGGTGGAAAATCTGAGACTCGGGAAAATTAACTCATTCAAGACCATACTACAGCTAATAAGTTTTAGGGATGGAATTGGAACACAGACAGTTGGTCTCCAGACCTTGTGGTCTGAACTATTATACCAAACTGCCTTCTAATGTACTTTAAAATAGAAATAAATGTTTCTCTAAAAGACTGAGCCAAAATGTTTAGAACATGTCAATATAGATATAGTGTGGTACATGTTGAGCATCCCTAAATTGAAAATCCAATATCTGAAATGTTTCATAATCAAACTTTCTGAGCTTCATGTCAGCACTCCAAAAATCTTCAGATTTAGGAGTTTTGGATTTTCAGACTGGGAATACTTAAATAGTCCATGCAAGTATTCCAAAGTCTGAAAAACTTTGAAATCTGAAACACTTCTGGTTCCAAGTATTTGGGATAAGGGACACAAAACTTGTATATGGGAAAGATCACACATTTTAGAGTAAGGCAGAACTGGGTTCAAATCGTGATAACACTTCTGTGACCTTGAATAAGCTACATAACCTCTTTGATCAGTTTATCTGTAAAATTGAGATGGTGATATAAAATGAAATAACATGTAAAGCACTTGGAATGCTGTGGATGCTTTGATGGTAGCTATTTATTATTATCTGGAACTGAACATCTTTGATAACCCTAACAGGGACATTATCTTTAAAAAAAAACTTATCTCAAGTTGGTCAAGTGATGAAGTAGCAGAGCCGGTATATTATATATATTTTTTTAAAAAACATGAGTTTTATCATGCGATCAGTGGAAGTTCTTGGGGGATTTTTTTTTTTTTTTTTGGTGGTGGTGCTGGGGATGGTACTCAGGGTCACAAACATGCTAAGTAAGCAATGTACCTTTGAGCTATAGCCTCAGCCCTGCTGGAGGATTTTAAACAGTGAAGTAATATAATGATGTATGCACTTCTGAATAACAAACGACTCCATGTTTTAAAACTTCCAAATAATATAGACTCACTTTAAAAATGAAAATATTCCCCTTATTCTGTACATTTAGAAAGATCATTTTAGCAGCTATATAACAATTGGAATAGGACACAGAGAACAGTTAATAAGAATATTTCACTAATTCAGGGAAAAGACTATGAGAATTTAGAGTAGGGGTGAAAAGAAAAGGACATATTAGGA